TTGTTTTTTTTTGTTTTGTTTTTTTATCGTTCGTACAATCTACTTTAATTTTCAGGTACCCGAAATATGAAATTTCGTTACTTGGGAAAGAACTTGAAAACGACGATCCTGTGAGCGCCTGCCAAAGTTCGGCTGTCCCCCTGAGGCCACTGGGGATTTTCTTTTCGGGCATATCACCAGTACAGATTCGTTGATCTATGTAACGTCAGATTATATTTAGTTTCTTCAGTACTTCAGTTCTCGGGGACAACTTTCTGATGCAGTTCAGCAAGGACGAAAACCTGTTTGGGTGCCACAATGATGAGTATACATGTAAAATGGGTGGTGCAACAATTTTTGTGCTTTCAGTAAATACTGCTAAGAATTAATCCCTGACGTTGATAACTTGCAAAAATATTCATTTGTTCTCCCCTCCGCGCAATAGCAGACGCAAAAACAAAATTACAGAAATAAACAGTTTTTTTCGTCCTCTACTCACAATGAGAACAAGCGGCCACGTGATCTGACGCTAATTATATACTGTCAGTGTTTATCACAGTCATGCGCTGGGATTTGCAAAGCACAGAACATGGGCTGAGCTTCAGATATTGTTAGAGTTACGCTATTATCATATTTAATTGAACACGAGCCGTTACCCGAGTGTTGGCGATGCTGATTGTCATAAACCCGAGCACTTGACTGGGGCTGCTGACAGGAGTACGTCACGGCGTCACGTGACTCCAGGTGAGAAGTCGCGATGTCATGTTACGTCACGGTGTCATCTACGTTAAGAAATCTAGGGGCTTTTTTCAATTTAAGTTGACTTAACGCACCGAGTCACGTGACGTGACATTGCTTGCAAATTCCTTGACAACATGTCTTGAGACCATCACGTCACGTGACCACGTGATACAATATTACTCAATAGTGCCAATACAAAAGCGCCACGAAAACTCACAATTTCTCCTACATTACAACTATGTAAACCCAGGGATCCTGGGTGCAATCCCCACCCCTGCACGTTTCGATCTGGATGAGTACCGTGCCGGCGTACGGTCGTGTATCAGTACTGCGTGATGCACGTTAAAGGAGCTGTGCAACGATATTCCATTGGAATCTTTTTCTCTCTACACGAGCTTACTGGCACACCTGGGACTCAAGGATACTCACACGCAACGCCATTGGCCAAGAAACTCCTTTGTTGCGGTGTAATTTCAAGGACAAAAGCGATCATTTTCATTCAATCTCTCCTTTGGAAAATTTGATGACGTAACTCGGGGATCGCAGTACACCCAAGTGACGATATTTGAATGCGGTTCATAGATTGGACCCGAGCATTGCGTGGGCACTCGACTTGGGCTCGTGACAATTGCTAGCTCGAGAAGCATTCGGGTTGTGAATCCGTGTCCAATCGCTGCAACGACGACAACAGCCGAGCCATAACAATGTCTGGAACTCAGCGCGTGTCCTGCGCTTTGCCAACCCCAGCGCGTGGCTATGATCAACACTGGCGGCATATAATCGGTTCCAGATCACGTGGCCGCTTGTTCTGGCTACGAGTTGAGGGGGTGAACGCTGCTCGTTTTTCTTGAATTTTTTTCTGGGACTTCTATTGCGTGGGGTGAAAAACGAACGCGTGTTTCATAGGTCATTAACGTTAGGAATCCGTTTTAAGCGGTATTTGCGCAAAGTACAAAAATTGTTGCATAGCTCCTTTAAAGACCCCAGGCTAGCGGTTGCACTGCACTGGCAAAATTTCTCATCTACTGCTCGGAGACTCGTCGCCCTTTGAGGCAGACCATGTCCTAGGCTGTATAAACATAAACACTACCCAATTTTTTTTTACAATTATGTACATGACGATTTGATAAATTTTTACATCGCCAATATTCATTTTGTGATACTAACCAAAAATAAATACAGTGAACCATTTTGAACCGGTTACCGTCATATTTTTTCCGGATCAATTCCAAGATAGCGGCGCAAAGATTTCGGTTCGGTTCAGTTCCGGTTCGACACCCTGCTTTGTATGCTTGTGCACGAAAATGAAAGTGAAAATTAATTTAAAAGATCTTGTGAACTTGAGTGTTTTATTGCTTATTTCTAAACGCAATCAATTATTTTTTCTTTCCCGGTGTTAATGAACTGAAGACAAATTTAGACTACAATATTGCCTTATCTTGATACACGCGTACCTGCTATATTGCGTTTCATACTTAGCGTACAACGTCACCAAAGCCACTGGCGCGAGAGCGTGGCTACATCAAGCGTCTCTTTCGCACGTGAGCGCGTAAAAAACAATCCTAAAGCAAGCCGCAGGCTTGTTTTTAGCAGCTTTGACAGCGTTGTATACGACGTACGAAACACGCTTTCTTCTCGCAGGCACCTGTTCATCTGCTAAACGAATGCATGTGGAATTTAGGGCGCCTTCATGTGCGCTGTGCTTAGGGTAATGACACATCGCCATTTTGTTCCAAACCCTTCTTTTTTTCTGGAGCACGTGAAAGAGCGTTTCCCTGCACGCGCTGTTGGCGTTGACTGTTCTACGGCGACATTTTGTTTTCTGTAATTTTTTTGTATTTTTCCCGTGAGCGCGTACTGTCGGCATAGGGCACTACAAAGGATGTCACAACCCTAAACAGAAGGACATTGAGGCACCCTAGTTTATTCCATACTTCTTACTTATATAGACAAACAAAACAAAACCCCTTCGTTTTCTTTTATTTATTTTTTCTATCTTCACTGCCTAAATGGAAACTGATGTTTCCACATTAACTGCTAGCTATTATCTTTTATGATTTGTTTTACTCAGCATGTTGTTGTTTTTCGTGACAGAAAATAACTGACTGACTTCTAGACGTTGACGTAAGCAATGTTTTCGCGCGCGCGCGCACACACACACAAAAAAAAGCAGTCGTCAGAATGCCAATACGCCGGCTTGGTAATTGCTATAGGGCAGTTCTAGTGCGCTACTATTCCGAAAACAATTATAGAAACAATTGGAAAGGCTGGTTGCTTCAATCAAAGCATTGTACGAGCGTTGTGTTCGTCTCGCTTCGAGTGGAGAAACAAAAAAGAAAAGAAGACAGTAAGAAAAAAATCAAACAGAAAAATAAACCTGTATTACTAATTTTGATGTAGTTAGTACATGTCTGGCGGACGACCTGACATTTAGAACAAAGTTCGTATAAGTAGGTAATTGAGGCTGAATAATTTATGAGCAGTCAACCGTGACTGTAAGCACGTCTCAAAAAAAAAAAAACATACAAAATGACAGGCTTTTTTTTTTAAGTACTCAGCGAGTTTTACATCAGTTAATAATGGCAAACTTTGGAGGGTCGATTCCTTCCGGCTTTCAGGTCGACTTTTAGTAAGATCTCGGACCCTTTCGGCGTTTTTTTCTCGTTCGAGCTCTACGATTCGGATGTGTCAGTTAACACTTTATCTCTCTGCCATTTGCCAAATTTTCTTCGCTTTCTTTTATTTATTTATCTTTATTTTGTGACTTCTGCAGTGTGTAGAAACAATGAAAGCTGAAATAAATGAAGACACAAACCCTTCACTCTAGAATTTCATCTTTCGTAACAAACCATATTACTGCCTCCTTCGTTGTCACGACCTCCCCTACGCCTATTTGCGCGCCCAGCTGTCGTACCAGGACGTGTTTTTTTTAAAGCCCGATACACAGCGCGCGCTCCGTGCCTTCCTTTGTGCTTTGGTAGCGCGCGCTCGAGGTGCGCAAGATGTTGAAGCATCGTCGAAGGTAGCAACTTCGGTAGGAAGCTCGCGCGAGAGGTGGGAAAACTGGATGCTTCTTCCTACCGTTTTCACCTTATCAGTGGCTATATTTTGAGACCAACGGAAAATCCAGCCCAGATATTCAAGCTGTATTTCACGCGGAAAATGTGCGTTTCGTCCGGATACCTTCGTATCGGCCTAGTGAGTAAGAAGACCAGGTGATTTTTAGTCAGTCGCCGGCAAGTAACCTATTAGATTTCCAACAACCGCGGGCACTTTCAGCCGGATCATCCGTGTGGAGCAGAGAACGTTCTACCGCACGAGCATTGACAAAACTAATTCGATCCTTCCAATGCAAAATTTTTTCGGAGTCTTCACTTTTCCACTTAGTACTAAATATCCCAAAAATGATCTAAACAAAAAAACACAGAAGTAAGAACGCAGAGTTAAGGTCTAGCATAGCGCTACCGTATAGAACCTTGCATCGCTTATCACCCGGGCGAAAAATGCTGAGTCACTGAGCTGTGGAAGCACGCGCAGTGTCCGATATACCGCACAGCAGAGCAACAGCGCACGGCCAGAAGGCGTTCCACAGTTCAGTAGACAAAGATGGCAACGTGCGGAAGGCAATTTTTGCAAAGGTAGATACACTCTGTTTAGCTTCAAGTCCGGCCACATCCGTCGCTACGATCCGAGGAAGCCAACCAGGCAGCGTCAAAAGGGCATGTTCACAGCGCCCGTCGCCCTTGTGGGTATCCTGTCACCGACGAAACCAATCAGGCACTCTGAATCCGCCGCCATCTTGCACCACTTTCTTCTCTGCGTGGTTGATTTAGCCGGTCATAGTGAACGTAACAAGACAACGAGCGCCGTGACGATGCACTTTTATTGCTCCTTGTTTGTGTCCGTCGAATGGCAGCATCGGTTGCGGTTGGACTAAAAAAGTGAAACGGAGTCTAGAGCGGCGCGACTGCCGGAAGCGCGTGCTTGACTGCGAAGCGTGCTCTCTGTCGCGCGACGGCCGCGCCATAGCTAGCGGTAACGCTCCACTCTATTCTATTAGAGACCTTTATAGTAGATCAAATCCTAAAGCTCCGCTCCGCTAGCGGGAAGTCGTGCTATCAGTTCGAAACGTGCCCACTAGGCCCAGCCTCCCCAGCGTACGGTATACTAAAACTCTCTATTGAGTGCTCTTGATCCGTTGATTTTGCGATATCGCTCTTACCGATTCGTAACACTAACTGTTCATCGATTGACTCTGGCCTTTTGATTTGTTTTTGCAGAGGTCTTAAAAGCACGTGACGAGTCGAGAGCCCACGATGAGGCTGTGTGTGTTTCTCCTGCTGGCCGCCGTGGTCCTGGTGGCGCTAGTGGAGCTGAGCAGCGCCAAGCGGCAGTACCAGGACGAAGGCAAGTCCCACAACGTCGGAGGCCACGGGGGCAGGAAGCACCACCACAAGGAGCGCCGGCACGACTCCAAGCAGCAGCACCACGACAAGGGGTACGTGGGCCTCGATGACGGGCATGGCACGCGTCGGCCTCCGGTGATTCGCCGTAGTTTCAATCGTGGCTTCTACACTCGACTCTTGAGTAAAGGCCGATGCAAACCAACTTTGGACTGCGGGTTGCGGTCCCGAAAACCGTCAAGTCTTTGTAGCTGCCCGTTGCGGGAGGAAAGCGTGCGGTTCAGTTAGGACGGTTCGGACAGCCAGCAGCACACGGGAGGTGATCATGTGGTTCGTGTTCTCCCTCGCCCGCTTTGCTAACAGGAGAACCGAGCTTTCGAGCAAGTAATCAGAGCTCCCGTTCTTCACTTTCTATCCAGTTTTCTCCCGTATTCTTCCTTTCCCCAATGACAAGGGTGCCGTAAAGTCATATAACGACCGACCATAGTCCTCTATCCTCATTCGACACGAACACAATACCAGTAGAAGTGACCTTCAACCCGTCGACGCAAAAAAAAAGCAGCACAAAGTGACGGAATGGAAAGGAGGTGAGGAGCCCGGCCGTGTGGGTTCAAATATACTTATTCAACTTCGAATGTGGCTAGTGGAAGCAGTAAAACGTCACCGGTGACATTACACGACCCGCCAGAACTTTGCGGTTTACGCTACCCGCAAGCCCGATTCCGGGTTAGTTTGAATCAAGCTTGAGCGCCGTGCGATTTACTTCTCTCAGTTTTTAGAAACTTCACTATACAAACACCTCGTTCTTCCACTTAGCAATACAAAATGATCATGTGTCCAAACGTAGACCCTCAAAGAACGCTGATTTTCAACTTAAGGCATTTTGCACAGGTACGTTCTCAGTCCCGCACTTTTGATAAAGCTGCATAAAACTCATGATATAGAAACTAAGGACTGCTCAGGGCGTTTTCTGCGCATGCTTTTACAGTATCGCTTTTTTTCCTTTAAAACTCGTTACACGAAGAAAACCCGGATCCTTTTTTCTATAAACACTGAACCGAAAACACGGCGGTCTTAGATAGCATTATGAGACACCCTAATCTACGTTAGTTTTCCTTCGACAGTCCCAGTTGAACGACTTTCTTTTCGTTCTTCGAAACGAGACGCGTTGAAGGGTTCTATGGGGGAGGGCGCGGTGTCGCACGACGAAGGCGACCGGGACGCGACCCTAATCCGTGTACCTCAGAAGTGCCAAACACCGGCGTGACATAGAATATGCTTTCTGATGGTTTTTGGAACATCCACCGTCAGCCTACAGCGTCTGTGCCTTCAGCGACGTGGGGTTGAAGGCTCGACGGAGCTCTCCTGCCTTCCCGCCTGCCACGACATCCGAAAGCTCATCTGTCAGCGCACGTCACGCGAGGCACTCTCAAAACTCTGCCGCGGAACCGGAATGCGGAAATGCGCTGCCCGCGCTGATGCGCATTGCCTCCGGACAAAAACGCACCTCTCGTTGAGCGAAATAAAAATAAAACGAACTTGAGGAAGTTACGACAGGTAAATTACATTTTCAAGTAACACGAAGAAACGGGCAAGCACAACGCAAATGACTCTGTCATTGTTTATGATTTATTATCGTCTCTTCCTCTCGCTCTCTCTTTGGCAACCATTACAGAACAGTCCTTTATTTTTTTTTTCTTCTTCTCATGACCCCCCTCCCCCCCACACACACACACACACTTCCTTTACCGTATTTATGTTTTTGTATTTTACTTATTCGCGTTTTGGAGCGCTCTTAATGCACCGTTCTGCTCAGTCATTTTACGCTCTGCAGGTATTTGCAGCTATCGCTTCTCGGTTAAATAAGACTTTGTTAGTTTAATGTTCATTGCGTCTTTTTGTTCGTTTATTTGTAATTTTTTTTTCATTAGTTTAGTTTCTTCTTCCACTTCCAGTGTTGTTTATCTTTCTCTGCTTCTTTTGACGTTTTTTTTTTTTCGTTCCACTAGTCCTTACGTGTCTTTTCGAGCTATTGACGAAGTTCATCTCATTACTCATAAACGTTATTTCGTTCTTTCTTACTTTTTATCACAATTCTTGTCTTGTCTAATTTCCCTTCATTCCCCGCTAAGCTCAGTGAACGGTGGAAGCTACGTACTCGTTTAATCAGTCGCACGTACGTGAAATGCTACTTATATCTCAATTCTACATATCGCCGCGTCTCGATCAGCAACACAAGCTAGGCATACCATCTAAAGAACTAAAACTTTTCACAGTTCATTCATACCTTGAACTACGCCTTCTCGGAGCCGCCTTCCAGCGTCGGTGGTAACTTTATTTGATTGCGTCGCTTTTGAATGTGCCTTAACAATGTCAATATTCTAGTAAATTATTAACATATTATCATTGCATTCTTAGAATTTGGTGTTTTTTGTTCTTTTATTCGTACCTGTAATTCACGCCCCCCTGCAATGCCCTTGCAACCTTGAAGGTAATTGAAAGAAATAAATACGCCTAGCTTACGCCACGTGATCGCGCTCCCGCTTATACCCACGCGCAGAGAGGCGGATCAGGTGATGAAAGGCAGGCTGTTGATTGGTCCGGCGATCACGTAGCTCCCACCGCCTTGTCAGCTTAGCAGTGACCGTAGTATTGTCTGCCAGCTTCCACGCCCTTACGTGGACACGCGCGCACCCCCATTTTGTAGATATGTGGCCATGTTGTGCACGTATAAACTGACTCGCGAAGCAGGCTTCCCTGCAGACGTGGTGAAACTAAGGGGAAACTCACCGGACGTTTTGAAGGGGAACGCGTCCTTGGCGATGGTTATGGCTTTCATAGAGCCACAGCGCAGCAGCGTCTATGCACGTTTACAGAAACCGAGGACGTGTTACAAACACCAAATGTTCGCGGAGGCGCTTGGTGTTAACGCATTGACCGTAAAACGACTGTAACGCCATCTTCCGCATCTGCTTGCAAACAGGCATTCGCTTGATGGTAGGCGCATGAACAGATTTACCACTGCTCAACACGCATGCGCCAAGGCATGTTTGTAGATCCGCTTACCAGAAAGTTTCATAAGAAGTAACTAGAAACCCTAGGTACAAACACCTCCTGGGAACGATCGTCTTCCAAAGGTCGTCATATCACCCCGGTTTTATTTTCTTTTCTTTTTTTTTTATATATATATACGGTGCCACACTGATTTTTCTACGCGCCCGCGGTCCTGCTCCCCAGTGGTTGAGACGCGCAACACACGTGCGCCCTACTTCCCTACGTTCTACGAGGCAGGCGAGGGGGTGGCTTCGCGCCGCGGGCGCAAAGATGTGCTCCGATAAGAAACCGAATTCTAGAAACGCGTCCAAAACGAGCGTTTTTACAGAACGCCGTAAAATGCTGCCCCGGCGTTATATCCTTCCAAAAATAGTTGACATAGTGGTTTTCGATGATGCTCTACAAGTTTTTAATTGGAACCATATGTCTATTTTCACTAATTAAAAAGTTAATTAACAAATTTTAGTTAATTCGCCTACTTATCACACAGATTAGCCACCCACATAATGTCCGCCTGGCCGTGTAACTCACCTGCACAAACCGCATTAGTGTAGCTTTCATGGCATTTTTTAAACAAATCTGAAAGAATTAAAAGCACCTATATATATATATATATATATATATATATATATATATATATATATATATATATATATATATATATATATATAGTGTTGTGTGTCTGTGTTTTAAGTATCTTCAAACAGAGCGCGCAAACTTTCAAATGAGGGTTCTAGTTAATTTTAAAATACAAAAAAAAAGTCTAACGTACCGCGACTTCTTTTTTTTATATAAGAAGTTTACGACCACTATTAAGAACACTCGGAGCTGTAAATCATTAGAAAAGCCCGCCGTCATATTTCGTCCTTTTGCTTTTCGCCAGAAAAAAAAATCAATAAAATAAATATACTAACCGCTGAACGGTAACCCCAAATTAGGGTTTATTCAACCCGCTTCGTACTTGGGGGAAAGGCGAGGTGAAATAGAAGAGAGAGAGGCACTGAAAGAGACAGCGCGACCTCTCGGTCATTTCCGCTTTAATAACCTGATATATTAATTTTAGAAGGAGAAGTATCAGCGAGGAAAAAAATACAATGAAAAAACTCGGGTTTTGTCATTTGCATGCAAGCTAAAAGATTAAACTACAGTACGTTCTGAAAACAAAAATATATATATATATGCATAAGAATATTTCCCTCCTATTCGCACGAAGAATAAGTGCGAGCGAAGTTCCGGGTAATGAACGGAGTCCTCGCTGCTGCGAACAAAGAATACTACTTATTTGTTTGGATCGTTTCTTTTGGTCGGCGAACGTTTCGTTCAGTATTTTTTTGTCGCGTATTATCGGACGAAATAAACGGCTCGCCGCAACGATTCACGAGCGCACTGCCCTGCAACGCGGACCATCGCAACCTGTCACACCCAAGAGGACGGGTCAAAACGGCTCACCGACACGCGGGCGAAATGTCCCGCTCTGCGTGCCGTATATAAGCCAAGCTGTGTCTACGGTCATTAGGTTCTTGCCTATACCTTCTCTGAACTACCTTCGCGAGCGAGTCCTTTTCTCGTTTTGCTACTTCCCCCAAAAGCGCCCATCCACGCATACGCCCATCCCTCACCCGACTTTATTTCGTCATTAAACGCCGAAGTGCACGACGCTTACTAAAGTTTCGGCACTGCTCGTTCACCAGCGCGCCTGTATACGTATTAGCATCGAGAAGACGTAAGTTGTAGTTCCGGTCTTCTTTTTTTTCTCTCTCTCTCTGTCTCTTTATTTTGTCGTGTTTGGGAGTCACATTATATTTCGGGTAGGCGAACAAGAAACGCCTAAGAGCACACAGCAGGAGTCATAACTTACAGCTCTCTCGCACGTATCGAATGCTGCTCCAAATATTATCGTGTATGCGTGCGCGCGCGCGCTCACGTAACTATAGCGAGCGCGAACACTCATAAAACGCGTTGCAATGGCCGCGAAGAAGGAGCGCGTGCACGAAAGAACGTAGAAACCGCACGAAACCGTAATTCCGGATAGAAAAAAACA